GCCTGCCCGGGGAAGGCCCGTCCCCTCGCTCCCTCATAAAATTCCTTACAAGAAATTGCGTGGGCAGCGGCCGAGCTCTCGGGATTTGATGAAAACGCCTGAATTTCTGCGGCTTTCCGGAGCCAGCTAGCCCTCCTGAGCCTAGACCTCTCCCTTCCCAGCTTGCTGCCCCGCCACTGCTCGTTTTGTGGTAATTTCACCGTTTTTTAGTCGAGGCCTGTTTTCCAGCAGGCCCTGAAGCTGCCGTGGCAGCAGCCCAGCCTTCGGCAGAGATGCAAATAAGCCCCAACAATTAGATACCGTTTTTCTGCTTTAATAAGGGAGGCTGGGCGTTAAGCTAGGCAGGTGTTTTCTGTGCGCTGGATCGGTTTTATCCAAGACGAGTATGATTGAAATTAACTTTCTGTACAAGAACTCTTGTTCTTGAGCATTTTTCACCCCATGGTGGGTTTAATGCTGATTCCCTGTGCGTAGTCTGGCATCACCAGCTACTTAATTACAAAGAAATGTATTTTTAACCGCATGGCTGTACTAGCTGTGAAGCCCAAGGATTGCTTTGGGGGCATATAACATAACATCACCCGTGACTGGAAGTTATATTTTCCTTTAAAATTATTTCATATAGCTCACTTGAAATAACATAATCCATGTAAGTATCTTAATTTTTAGCCGTTTCAGAGAATACAGTTAAAGATACATTAAAGGAGGAGAAACTGGCATTTTCTTTAAATGCCTCCCTGCTTGTCAGTTTACTTATGATCTTTTTCCTTATTTAAAAGCATCTTGAGGTGGTTGAAGGTTGAGCTGTTTATCTCAGTGTGAGGGACTGCAAGGGGGAAAGATGAGTTCCTTTGGACTTTATTTTCTTGTTGAAATGCATGGAGTCAGCATCACTTACAAAATAATTGAGCAACTAAAACAGAGATGCTATCTTGTATTGCAGAGCTAAGGGAGAACAGTCTTGCTGTTGGTAGAGTCTGTTAATTGAAAGCATGTTGGCTACCAAGCTGTCCCGGCCTCTCCTGAACTCTGTAAAAGCCCTGAATTTCAAGAACCCAGGGAATGGCATCAGGTAAGTAACTTGGTGGAGGAGAAGTGAGATCTTGAGTAAAGCACACATCGAGGGCTCATTTGATTTCAGTGGGACAGTTTATTTACAGAATCACAAGGTGGTTGAGGTTGGAAGGCACCTCGTGAGGTCATCTGGTCCAACCCCCCTGCTCAAGCAGGGCCTCCTAGAGCTGGTTGCCCAAGACTGTGTCCAGACGGCTTTTGAGTATCTCCAAGGATGGAGACTCCACAACCTGCCTGGGCAACCTGTGCCAGTGCTCAGTCATGGAGCTGAGCACACAGGAGATGGACTCTATATGCAAGGAAGGGTTGGCAACATGTTTTTTTTTTTTAAACTTGGACAATCATCTGCAGTCAAAAGGGGGTTGAGTAGAGCATTAATTCAGTGTCAAGCAAGGATTTATTCCTGAATATCAGCAAGTAGGCCTTGCTGCAGTGCAAGAACTGTCATATATTTCTATGATTTTGTTAAAGAGGCAATGAATCACATGAAATGAGAAAGAAAGTTGAGAGGGAGAGTTTTAGTGAGAAATGGAGGTGGGCTGAGTAACGAAGCTGTTTTTTTCTGAACATGAACAGAAAATTGCCTATCTAATTCTAATTCCTAGCGCTGAAAAAAATACCTTTTATATTGATATATGATGGAACCCTGCTATTCCAAATTCAGAGCAAGCTGAGTGCTTTCACTGGCTTGCTTTAGAGCAGGGCTGCCAGACAATGGTGTGCGTACCACTAATTGTACATAAGCCGTTTAGAAGTGGCTCATGGCCTGCTAAGCAAGAACTGCCACCTCCAGTGTTGTTCTACTGCTGTTGGTAGTGGTGTCCAGCACCATCACCGTCAAGGAGGGCTTCCGTATCAGGGAGTTGTAGAGATCAAAGATAGCTAAGCTGTTAGAGATTTCCTATGCAGACAGACATAGGCCTTTTATCTCCTATTTACTCCACACACACCAAAGCTGCACCAGCAGCAATCTGCTGTGGCCTTAAAAATACAAATTAATGCTTTATTAACTGGAGAAAAGAATTTTCAGCATATTCTTTTTTTTTCCCTTCTTTTGTTTTGCTTACTGTGTATTTGTGCTTTGTATGTCTTGTACTCATCAAAAATGTGTGGCATTTTTTTAAGTACCCACAAGCTGCTAAACCTGAAATGGAAATCCAACTGTTCGTCTGAAAGGCAGTGTTGTCATTATACCAGTACCTTAATGCATTGAGGTAGCATTTGTATACTTGTCTCTTCAAGCTGAGGACTGCCTTTTTTGGTGTAACTGAACAAAAGCACATGCATGGTTACAAGCACAGATTCAATTTGAGGATCATCTGTGCATTTTAAAAATCTCAGTTGTGATCTCTAGAATTCAGTCATGCAGCATGACAAAAATGGCTCATGGTACATTAATGTACTATGTGGGAACTAACATCGCATATGCGTCGTAACTGTTTCCTCTGGTGACATTCCTGATTATGCCCTTGCCTTCAGGTCGAGGTAGGCAGAATGTTAAGTAGTTATTCTCTACAGGTTACTGTGAATAGAGTGCAGCAAATTAGTGCTCTGCAGTGAAATAACAGGACCAGACATGACACTGAAAAATAAAAATCAAGTTAATGCAACTAGAAGAAATGTTATGAACATTTCTGGGCACTTTGAGACACAGGAAGAAGCTTATTGTTGAGACTAAAGTTCCAAGCCAGGATTGCAGGTCAGTGAGGTTAACATGGACTTTGCCTCGGGACTGACCTTTGCAGCAATTAATTGTCTGTAGCTATTTCAAGAGCTGATAGGGCTTGTGACACTCAAAGTTAGAAGAGCTAAACTGTTGCAGGAAGGTGAGTGGATGCTGTTGCCTGAATATAAATCAGCTCCTTTCCCAAAAGCTTCTGCTCTAGCAGACCCTTTTTCTAGCCTTGTTTTCCCAAGGTGCAGCTCAGAGGCCAGAGAGTCTGCAGATGGCTGTTCAGTGTAGCACAGGTCACCCTGGGAGCACCTGTGATGTCTGAGCAGGAGATAATTGTGAATGATTATGCAAATTCATTTAGAAGACAGAAGAGCAACCTGGAAGATAAGCTCTGCTGAAGGATAGATGTTGTTAGCGGGGCCAGAGGATAGATGAAGTACAGCAAGTCTAGAGGAAGGCCAGAAGGGAGGGCAACGGGAGCCCAAAGCAAAAATGAAAAAGCTGATATAGTCCAGAGAGGTGGCTGGCAAGGACAGAGGCTAGGGTCACTCTGGTGTGTTGTCTAGGCCCAGTTTTGATGAGTGATGGCAAGACCTAAGACAGCGTGATGCTACTGGTAGCATAGCTTTTCTAAATGAATCTCACTCCTCAGAAAGCATTGTTGCGTTGCTCTGGTCTGTCTTTGTGAACATGGTTATCTTCCTGGGAGTGAGACATACTATGCAGAGGAGGTTCAGATCTGCATGGCAGGTGTTGCTCAAAGACATAGTGTCTCTTAGCTTAAACAGTTGCAAAGAGAGGATTTCAAATCTAAGAGTAATGGGTAGTCACTGCAGAGGAAGAAGTGTCATCCAAAATGACAGAAGGGTGGAGCTGTGTGTAAAAGCAGTGAGATAGATCCAAGCAAATTCAGTCTTAGGCTGGGTATCGGAGACAACGCAACAGCAGAATACTTTCACCAGACAAATGAATAACTTCCCCTACCCCAGCTTTGTGCAACTCTAAGTGAGAGTGGCGTTGCTCTTGGAAATGAAAACACTGTACTGCCCATTTTGCGGGTGGAAGCAGCTCTGTCCCTCCAGACTGGGAGCTATTTTAGAATTCTTGGTAACATCCAGACAGCTTCTGTAGCTGGAAATAGCATCAAGGTCCTTTGAGAAACAAATGTTTCATACTGTAGGAAACACACAGGCTCAGACTAAGGAGAACTGTAGACTGGATTCTGTCTTCTCAAATGACAGTCTACATCATGTACGTAGGCAACACTACATTCCTTTTCATGTGTATGCTGCAGCACCAGGGTACGGACAAGATATTCCATGCCTGATTGTTCTGTTGTTTGGTTTTTCGTTTTTTTTCACAGGCCTGTGCAAAGATTTTGCTTCCCTCTCTTGTCCCCATATGGCAACCGCTCTTATGCAAGTGAAGTCGATCAGGTGAGTGTGATGTTTCCAGGAACTAGTTCTGCTGAGCTGGGGTTTTAAAATCCCTGAAGCCTGGTGACCAAATTCTTCTTTCCCATTTGCCAGAAAGACTTTTGAGCTGGACCTCTCCAACATACTCCACATTCTTTCCTAGTGCAGAGCTTCCATTGACGTAGCACGGTACATGCTGCTAAGGATGGAAATAAACAATCAGACTAGTGGGTTTATTCTATTTTTGGAACTCACTCAGCAGATGAAATCTTCCACCTTAAGAGTGGAGGGAATTTGCATGACAAATTCTTAATACAGGGCTCTTTCTGCAGTATGGTTGTGCAAGGAAATGTGAATAAATTGGTGTGTCCTCACCTCTTGTTCTGGAGAGTGGCCCTCTTCTTTAACGGCCCCTTCCTTGAAGGCACTAGCTTGCCAGGAACAGTGCCAGACAAAAGGAAGGGGGATGTTTTGCCCTCTTGCCTGTCTTGTGGCACAGAACTCAGCACTGTGGCAGTGCTAGAGCATGCACATCTTGCTCCGTAAGCCTGGGGCAGAGTCTCAGAGGAATTCGGATACTGCCCTTGCATCTCTGCTGGGCTTCCGGTCCCTGTGTATGCTGGGGAAACCCAAATTTCTAGTTTGTTGAAAGAGATGAGTTGGAATGAATTGCAAGTAATTATTACCTAATCCCACCCACAGCAGCACCTTGCTGCATGTGCACTTGTTGCTGCTGGAATGTCTGATACACCATGCAATTTTTAATCTGTCACTTAACTGCTGCCTCTCTTTGGGTTAGAAAAAGCATTTGGAGAACGAAGGAGGTGTACTTCTCCTATTTAAATTGTAAGTTGGAAAAATAAGAAGACCAAAAAACGAACAAAAAGGCTGATGACCAGCTAGTCTTAATTTCAAATATTAAACCCACTTGGTTCTGCTTAGCTTTTAAAACCCAGCACTAGAGGGTTTACATGCTAGAGAGAGAAAGATCAGTGAGCAGTCAGTAAGGTTAACCCATATCCTTTCTTCAGTCAAGCTATCTTCCCCATGCCCTACCAGCTGCATGGCACAGAATAGGGGACTCCTGCCTGCTTTGAGCATATAGGAACATCATCAGTCTGGTTTTTTGGTTGTCTCATTTTCAGATTTCAAGGTGGATGTGAACTGCCAGAGAATAGTGGTTTGCTTGGTCTCTTTTGCCTTGTGAGCCTGTTGCCAGAGGTGCCAGACTTCTCTTTGTGTTGGGAGGGCAGTGACCCAGCCTCACTGGAGTGAACTCAGTATGAAACCTTCATTTCTTGTCTTCAGGAGGCACTGGGTGGCAGTAGCTGGCAGCGAGTGTAGAGAACGTCCCTGGAACAGACTGCTCCTGGCCAAGGACATGGTTTTGTTCTGTGCACTGCAAATCACTGATTTCAAATACTCAATTCCAGTGCGTTTTGTTCTGTTTTGTTTTGCAGATTGGCAGCAGAGCTGTGCTTATAACAGGTTGTGACTCAGGGTTTGGATTTGCCTTGGCCAAGCATCTGCATACCAAAGGCTTCATTATTTACGCTGGCTGCCTGCAAAAGGTAAGGGAAACAAAAACGGTATTCTTCACCTGTGGCACGTGCACAGTCGCATAGCAAATCCAGTTTTCCCTCTCCACTCTGCACAGCTTTCTGCCAAGGAGAGGGAGGTGGTTGGTAGCCCAAAGGGAAAGACATGGGTGCTTGAATTTCATAGAGCCTAACCTGGTCTAGACGAGAACCAGGACTGAATGGTATCTAGGGAGGTTCTTATTTGAATCACAACATTGTGGTCTGTTGCATATCTGATGGACTGGAACCCCAAATCTAATTTTATACGCTTATCCATGAGCAAATTTGCGGATCAGGTTGAGTCTGGACCTTTGGCCCTGCTCTCAGACTACAGATATTTTCACAGGATTTATTTTGATTAATTGTGACATACACCAAGCCGTCAGTGGTTTTATGGCAAGTGGTATGAGCATATTTTTCTATATTCATGAATACAGCCATGCCTCAGTCCATATTGTGGGTCTCCTGAAATGGCTGTGAAGGCGATAGAGTTCCACTAGTGTAAATGAGAGCAGAATCAGGCCACAAATAGCTTAATGACGCAGTCTTGATACACTCTCCAGGAGCGCTCTGTATGGCAGTCAGAGATGCCTGGTCATGGAGAATAGGAGAGAACTTTAGCCTCTCTCTCCTTATGAAGGACTGCACTTTTTTAGCTGTGTAGCCATTTCCCAACAGAAACAAACTTACTCCTTGGGATATCCTGGGGTGGGTCGGTTATTTCGATCCTAACCTTTTAGCTCACTCATCACTGTAAATGTATCTGGAATAGTTATAGTATTTAAAGAGAATTTGCCAGGTGTTTTTAATGTTATCGGTACTCTTTCTGCTGTTATTTTTTCCATTGTTACTAAGTTCTGCTTAAATTACTAGTTTCCATTGCATTTTTTCAAGAGAGTCTGTGTTTTGATAGCTCTGTCCCTTGTGGTGTCTCAGCTTTGGGTCAAGGCTTTATTTGTTAACCTGGGCTCCCTCTACAGGCGTCACAGCAGAACAAGACACTTAGAAACTGCATTTCAAAAGGTGTTAAGAAGAGAGAGGGTAGATCAATACTTTTTTGGCAGGTATTTCTACTCAGCTTTTGTAACTGAAGATCAACATTAGAGAATATAAGAACGTTGCAGACTTAAAAACCACTGTTTAGAATAATAGCCTGCCTCTGTGTTGACAGGAACCAAAAAGTTCAGAGCTGAAAAATACTTCTGGGTTTCACTTCCTCTCTCTGAGCTGCCAGAAAGACACAATTTTCAGTGAGCATGTCTTTAACTGTCACTGGAACCTCCCTTCCATTTTGGTGTCTTCAGTACTCATTCTACTGAATGCATGTTAGTGGAAAATCTTGGCCTCTGACAATTTCAGCATAAGTGGACATGCAGCAGCATGCCAGAACTCTTTTAGGCTTTGATCAATATTTGTTTCCTCGCCAAAAATCAGCAGAAAGCTTTGCTGTATCCCTGTGTAATTAAATATTGCTTCTTAAGCTGGACTCACATCCCACGTTCCAAAATCTGTGTGACTGTGGCAAGACTGGTAACAGCAGTTGTCATCAGAAAAACACTGTAAAATGCCAAAGCTCCTTAGTTAACAGGTTGGCTTCCTATGTATGTTCAGGCCATATACTTTATGTATAGCTCTGTAAAACTAAAACAACTCCAGGAGACTGAGCTGATTTCTCATTGTGTCACAGGTTTCACTAGCAAAATCATAAGCAGAATTCTGATCAGAGTGTGATTATTGCTGGTGCTGATTTTAGGGGCAGAAAAAGCCTGGTGTCTTTTTAGATGCTAGATGGAAGTGGAGATAGAAATAAGACGCATCATCTTTTGCTTGAGTACATTTGACCTAGCCCTGACAGAGAGGAAATGACTATGAAACTTGAGTGTTATTTTCATGGGACTGTTTTTCACAGCACACCTGCACATCAGAAGCATACTCCAGCTTGGGGAGCTATCGTGTCCTCAGGGTATGCACTGTTCTTAGGAATGTCACATCTTTATTGCAGATTAAAAGTGTGTGCAATGCTGACTCTTCATCAGGAAAGGTTTCCTAGAGTGGCCAGATCCTGAGTGCCTGTCTCCACTTTTGCTGGAGGAAACCTGAGAGAGGTGTTTAGAGTCACAACTGAGGGGAGCCCAAGGATGGATTTGTGCTAACACTGTGTTGTTTCACACACAGTTTCTTCCTAACATTTTCATTGGCAAATATATTCATGTGAGAGTTGAGTTGGTGCTTCATTGCCGAAAGACAGTGGTAGACTGGATCCAATGAATGATCACACTGCAGCTGTCTTATTTTTCCTCTTTGGTTAATAGCTGGAGGAGCCAGCTGACACAAGATGAAGAAGGTATTTTTCCATCAGTATCTGTTACCAGTGGACATATGTGATGTTTGTCACGGCTGTCAGGAATGTGGTGGAGGCCCTGTTTGCTTTGCTTTGTGTGCTCAGGCCTCTTGGGGCTTGCAGGGGGATGAGAAGGCAGAGGTTATCTGAGCAAGCCAGCATGCAGGCCAGTTACTGCAGGGCTCAACAAGAGTGCTGAGAGCTACAGGGTGTTACATACCACTGGAGGGACACACTGATAAAGATACAAGCTGAAGCTCATGGGCCCCAGAGGGTGACCGTGGGAAGAGGAAGATGAGCCAGTGGTGTGCTTTTTCAGTATGCAAGAGCTGGGCCCTCTTGCCATGGGGACAGCGGACCCTGGGACTGACAGCAGAGATGTACTGGTCTCTTGGCATAGCATGAGAAGGTCCTTCCACTGCTGCATATGGGCCCAGGACAGGCTGTGTCCCATGCCAGGAGAACACGACACAATCACAGGGTGCCTGACTTCAACACCACCCATCTGCCCTTTTTGAAGAGCCAAGGGAACAGCCCTGTGGGTCTGGGTTAATGCCCAGACTCCAACACTTGGCCAGGATCCCAGCCCCAAGGGTCCCTGTCTGAGCACCCAGCTGTGTGTGGGGGGGAGGCTTGCTGAGCCAACCCTGTAAGGGAGGAAGAAGAGGATGCTGTGAAGGTCCCAGCAGAGCTTACGAGGCCTCTGAGGCTGGTGTGTTGCTGTGGCCCAGAGATTTTGTAGCACCTCGCAGACCTGGAATCAGGGAAAGAACTTACTGTTCTTCCTCTTCCCTTTAGCCGTATGTGGTGTTTCCAAGGGACTTGCATGCTTGCATTTGCTGGTTCCCTATTGACATGTGCCACTTCTATGCTTTTCAATGCTTTGCCATATACACTGGCTTCGGCACCACAGTGCTTTTGAGCGAGCAGCAAACTTAGCACAAAACTCTATTTTCAGTCACCATTAAAAGCAAACACCACTAAGCTGTGCATGAGACTTTTAACTGCTCCATTTTGTATGCATTATGCTTCTGTGTGAGGAGAGTGCAGTAGATGCCTTCTCTTAAGGACAAACACTAACCAGTATTAACAGTCTGCAGCGGAATAAGGAAGGGTGGAGATGAAGACAGAGGAAACATCAGATACTTCAAGTTAGTGAACTGTCTGTGAGCACAGCAGATAAGCCGAGGAATGAGAGGAGCCAAGAAAAGGTGTTTTGGAAGACCAGGTGGCACAGAGACAGGGGGATGTATGACCACCCTCATGTGGTATCTAAAGCGTAATGTCTGAAGGGGACTCTCACTCTGGGGGGGCAAATGGGCAGCCTGGGTTCAGACTGCAGAGATGAACACCCATCTCATTGACAGCTGACTACTGACAGTCTCTGACAGGGAGCACCCGTGGCTTGAGGCGTTCAGAATGAGCTAATGTCATTCATCTGTCAGGAAACAGCCCTGCTATGAAGAACTGACCTGTTCCAGGTCAGAGGGAAAAAAGCTATCCAAAAAAAGCCTCATCTATCACACCTGCTTTGTAAAAGCTCAGGGGTGAATGATGGTTGCCTGTTGATGCTGACACAGCGAGTGAGGCTACCTGGAGGGTTGAGTGATGGGGGAAGAAGAGCTGAGGAGCTGTCAGATGATCCTGTGGGACACGCTCTGTGGCTAACCTGTTAATGGGGAATAAAAGACTTCTAGTGAGGCATGATGTTGAGCGGACAGAGGGAGTTTCTTACAGTAAAGACAGGGATGTTCCCAAAAAGTGATTATTTTCAGAGATAGACCTCATCACCCTCTACAAAAGTACCCTGGAGTGGCCAGCACAGTCCAGTAGCTTATAACCATGGGAGTGATTCAGGGATGGTCCCAAACTCATATTAATATCCCATGTCTGTGTCGTGGAAACACCATAGCCAGGCTTCACCACTGTGAAGGGACCAGCTCTGGGCATGGCAGCCTTGTTGCTAGCAGCGTCTAGTTCATGTGAAAGGTATCTTAGGCGTTGGCCACAGTTACATGGCTGGGCTGCGAGTGGATATGTGCATACTGGGGGAGTCTGTTGTTCTGAGCTGAGAAAAAAGGTGTGGAGATGGGAAATGGGAGTGAGAAAAAGCTCATGGGGGCAGAGGCAGAGAAGAGAGCAAGATGCTGGAAAAGACTCCAGAGGGAATTGCTAGCAGGCAAGCTGGCCAGGCACCTGATGATCCAACTCTGTAGGAGTCTGTTGGAGGCAGTAGGTAGGTTTCCAGGCAGTGGGAGTTGTGTGCATCGATCAGCTGAAGGGAGAGAGCAGTGGGCAGGCAGTCTCTCTTCTAGGACTGTCACTCCCAGAGCTGGCAACGTGACTGAGAAGCTCGTGCAATGTACACGTGCAGTCACTCACCAGCTATTTTATACCATACCCCTGCCAAGCTATTTGCTGTGCCCTGTATGCAAGCTGAAGTGAGGATGGCACCACATTCCCACCACTGTGGTAGTGGGACATAGCTTGATCTTGGGGGCTTGTACTGGGCAGAAGTTGCCTTGCTGAAGCAGATCCATCTCTGGCTGTTTTCTTCGTGGTGGAAGCAGTTTGCACCAGCTGACTCAGTGGCAGGGCTCATGGTCAGATGGAGCTGCTCAAGGAATGGTGTTCTGCTGCAGGAGCAGCCCTGTCTGTTCCCCTTCCTCTTAGAGCTGCAGGACTGTCCTGATTATTCTGTGACTGCCCTGTGCACTCTCTTTTGCTTGATTTGATGGTTGCTATGCATTTGATCTTCTACACAAGTTCTTTGGCCAGATTCAAAACAGGGCTTTCTTCCCCTCTAGGACAAGGGACATGGTGGCTCCAAGGATCTGGACAACATGAACAGTGATCGCATGAGAACTGTCCAGCTCAATGTCTGTGACAGCAAAGAAGTGGACCGAGCAGTGGAGCATGTGAATAACAGCCTGGAGGACCCAGAGAAAGGTAGGTGCATGCAATGGGCCTTAAGGTCTCATAGGTGACAGGAGCTCCCTCAGCTGGGCTCTGAGAGCATTTTCAGGGAATATTTTAAAAGCTGAGTGTATGATTGAAGGGCACAAAGCTTTGAGGAGCAGCAGTGCAGAGCAAATGGCCTGTTTAAATGTTGGGTCATATCAGAAAGCAGCTTCCCGCTTAAGACAGCATCTACAAAGAAAACTGCTTTTTTCTCCACTAGCTCCTATAGGGACATGAGCAGAAATCAGGGTCGTGTTCAAGGCCCTGGGATTAGTGCTTTATTCCTGTGACCTAAAGTTTATTATGGTGACTCCCTTTATGTTGTAAAACCTGGCCAGTGCCCAAAGACTGGGGATTAGCAATGGAAATGTCTCCCACAAACTTTGAAAAGGCAAAGGAAATGGAGAGGTTTTCCAAACGATTTCCCATGAAGCCAGCTGAGTATCATTAACACCATTGCAGATGTTACCATGTATTACAGATTTTAGAGTTCAGGAGGTAGCTGTAACTGACTTTCTTAGCCTGCCTACCTCATTCTGCTGAGATGATGACAGCAAATTCTACTCCGGTACTGTGAAAACCCCAGCTGCTCATGCATTCCTGAAACCTTTCCACCCTTTGGTGAATTACATTTTTCCCCTAAAGAACATCCACACTTCAACACATGAGGGTTGTTTAAAAGCAGACCAGTCATGTTTTATTTTGGATTTTGCATAAACCTATTTGTTTTACTTTTCTTTTTACTTAATTTTTATATATGGATCTTCTATATAAATTAAGTTTTCTCGCCCTGTATTCTCAAGCACAGGCCAGGATGAAGTTGCCTTTTCTGGGCTGCTTCTGAGAACACAGGTCTGGAGACAGTCAGTCAGCAGACACCAGTGAGTTTTTCTAAACAGCACAGAGAAGCCATCTCAGACCTTTCTCAGTCTGTTTCCTGTGCAATTAGAATATTATATGAAGTGAGTTCATTTCATTCCAAATTCCCTTTAAATCTTTCTTTTCATTGCCAAATGAGTTGGTAGCTTCAGTTGTTGCCATCTTGTTTGCAGCGGAATAAAAGGGAGAGGCTGTGGCGCGCGTGCCCACCCATGTCCACCCATGCCCACATCCCCCTTCCCGGCATTGTAGACATTCTAGTTCTTACAGTGACACAAGGGTTTACTTTGAAATAATTACTCTTTTGTTTCTTACAAGGTCTTTCCTATTATTTTTATTTGCATTTAGAGACTATATTTTGCTTCTTTTAAAAGACCACGATGGAGAAAAAGAGAATGGCAAGGAGAACAGCTAAGATGAGGCTGAAGTTCTCCGTTTGCTGGCTCAGAACTTCCTGGGAAGCCTTATTCATGGTAGTTTGTGGCTGCAGTGTTGGGCAGTACAGGCAGATCCTCACTGTGGTTATATTTGCTTAGGAGACAGGTTCGCTCTGGACTCTCTTCTGTCTGGCTTTCATCTTTACAGGTCTTAATGAAAAGTTCTGTTGTGTGGTTCCATAATCTATTAGCAAGGCCTTTTCCAAGCTGCTCTCATTAACATGCCAGAGGGAAAGCTTTCTGTTTGATTTTGTCTTCCAGGGCTCTGGGGCTTGGTTAACAATGCTGGGATCTCCACATTCGGGGAAGTAGAGTTCACCAGCATGGACACCTACATGGAGGTAGCTGAAGTGAATCTGTGGGGGACTGTGCGAACCACCAAGGCTTTCCTCCCGCTCATCCGGAGGTCAAAGGGTGAGTGATCTCCTCTGGACTGGCACTCCCTGGAGCAGGCCCCCATCCTGCCCCACGTCTTGCTGTGTTAGAGGCCGAAAGGTCTGTTAAGCTTCCCTCTGCACCATTGGCCACCTTCATACCTTTATAGACGGAATGTGACCCACGGCATACATACAAATGACAGATTTCCTAACCACTCTGAGTTATGCAGCAAGACAGCGGTCCTGAAAACCAGTTACGATTTCTCTTCCCATCTGTGCTGCCTTCTCCTGCAACATCCCCTGCAAGATCTAATCTGTCATACCTTCTTCTACCTGTTCAGAAGCTGCAGCTCAATCCTCCCCTCTATACAAAATTGCAGAGCAATCCTCCCCTCTATAAAATTGCAGAGCAATCCTCCCCTCTATACAAAAAGCAGCTGTGCCATTGCTGGGCAGGGTGGGCAGCAGCAGCGTACTATGACATGCATCTTGCAGGGAAGTTGTCAGCTGCACGCTGTGTTACTTTGGGAGCTTGTAACGTGTGAGAGGTGGGGTTTGTACAGGAAAGGAACACAGACCTGGAGCTCACATGGGTCTCGGCATAAAGGGGCAAAAGCTTTCCTGTACTGGGACCAACTACCTCACTAATTGAGACTATTTTTTACTCTTGAGGCATCCACAGACATTAATAATGTTATTTTCGTAGTCCTGTGCTGCAGACCTGAGCTGTTTGTGGCCCAGGGAGCATTTCTTACACCATGGGAAGGTAGCCACTTCTGTGGTCAAAGTTTCTCTTTCTAACCCAACTCAGCAATGAGCACTGATAGACAGTGCAGAGAACTGCAACCTCTGATTAGACTGTGGCATCCGCAGTCTCCTACCAGCAGTCTCCCCAGCCAAAATGGATGGCTTCTGGAGAGGAGAAAGGCCCCAGCTCTGTGCCTGGAGCCATAATCCAGCTGTCACACAGAAAAGGGTGCAGTGGACTTAGACTACTCTGCCGCTTATGGTGCAGGAGCAATCCATTCTCTTTTAAGAGGCAGATAATATAAGCCACCATTAAGCTCTTAGATTTTGTGTGTTTGACTTGCAAATAAACAAGCTCAGCCTTGGTGCCAGAGGCTTTCTCTGCTGCAGCTTCGTCTTGTCTGGGCTCAGCCCTGATCACTACTGAGTAATCTTGTTTCCCACCATGCAGGTTCTGCCCAGCCTCTTCTGTGTTCCCCATAGCACTGAGCTTTGTGTGTCACTGTGAGCCTGCGCCCTCAGGTATAACAAGCCAGGGAGCACAAGCAATGGGCTTGGTCTCCTGCCTGAAGGCCATTGCATAGGACAGCAATGCTCAGATGGAGCCACCAGCAGGTCTGCCAGGCAGCCCTTACAGATACGCAGTGGGCGGGTTCAGGGATCTGTCGGGTGGTATGTGTCAGGTACCTGCTTTGGATCCAGTACCACGGCTCAGCTGTGCTTTGCCTGGCCTCTGCCTAGGTCGTGTGGTGAACATCAGTAGCATGATGGGTCGGATGGGCAGTCCTGCCCGGTCACCGTACTGTATCACCAAGTTTGGCGTGGAAGCCTTCTCCGACTGCCTGCGGTATGAAATGCAGCCCCAGGGAGTAACGGTCAGCATCGTGGAGCCTGGCAATTTCATAGCTGCCACCAACCTGTACAGCCCCGAGCGAATCAAGGCCATAGCCGACAAAATGTGGGATGAGCTCCCTGAGATAGTGCGCAAAGACTATGGCAGGAAATACTTCGATGAGCAGGTCAGCAAGATGGAAACGTACTGCAACAGCGGCTCGACAGACACCTCGCCGGTCATCGAAAGTGTCGCCCATGCGCTCACCTCCACGACCCCCTACACCCGCTACCACCCCATGGATTACTACTGGTGGCTGCGCATGCAGATCATGACGCACATGCCTGCTGCCATTTCAGATCGTCTCTATGTCTATTGAGGCTCCTAGGCTATCCAGGTGGGAAATTTGTTTTAAAGAGAGCATTGTACACACTTCCCATTAGTCATTTTTAAATTTTTCTAACCTCATTTCAGAGTACTGTATTTTAGCTCTAAAAGGTTCATTTGAACATCTGACGTAACCTAAAGGGCAGTAATTTGCAAGGGATGCTTCATAGGCAGGAATACATTATGTTTGTGCAGGGACATTGATTCTTTGCTATTTATTTCATGTAAATTTTTTTTTCACCTCAAGTGTCAAGTTAAAATCATTATTTAAACTGTAATTGCTCTGAAGTGTTTTCAGAATAATTTCTGCTGATGGCTGAACACAATCTTCACAATTCCTGCCTAGGATGCAGCCTTCACACCATAAATCAGAGTCCCTCCATGCTGTAACAGTAAACCACTGCCTCCTGATGACAAAGAGTATCCAACAGACTTTTCCAGGCCTGGTCACAGTAGCCCAAGGCAGAGCAGAGACTTCATTAATTTGGGGATCAGAACTCAAAATGCTCGAAGTGCTGAAACTGAGCAACTAACCCTGTCCTTTTCTCTCTTAGAATTATACTGATGAAACCTTAGAGAAAAGGAACCAGTCTGCTTTTCTTGCATGCTTTCTTGCAAAGGAGTTCAACAATCCAGGGACTCAATCCTGCAGACCTTTCCCACAGAAGTTTCCTACTCATATGAGCATTCCCATGAGTGTGAGCAGCTTTTACGCACAGGACTGCAGGTGTCAGGATTGGCCTGTAGTAACATTTCTCTTCTCTTTAACAGTAATCAAACATTCAACTCCAGACTTAGTTTGGAGAAGAGTTTCACTCCAGCTCCTATAATTTGTGAGGATCACTGCTGAGCTGAGGGAAGCAGGGAGGGTTATAGTCACATCAGCAAATGCCATTTTTACCAGGGACCGCAGAGTTACACCAAAGTATTTGTACAGCACCTTGCACAGAAGGACCTTAACCCTGACCAGGACCTCTAGGCCCTATTGCGATGCAGGTGATGACAACAATAATAACTTTTATTGAAGGAGTCACTGAGCTGAAATACATCTAACATGATACAAATCTAATAGAACATCCGTAACATAAAGTTAAGTTTAAGAGCAGTTTCATTTCCATGATAGTTGTTTACATGTTTGAGAAACATTTGGTTTGTACTGTAAGAAAAGAAAAGGAAGAAACCATAAAAGATCCTGTAATAGGAAAATGCGGAGTTAATTTTTTTTAAGCTTGAAAGGCAAAAAACAAACGAGTAATTAAGATACCATTGTTAGCAAAGTTAAAGAGAAGCGATCTCACCTGCTCTAGTAACATACCGTGACATGATCAAACTCCTTTGGCTTAATAAATGTATACACAAATGGTAACAAAATTCAGAGGCTCCCTCTCTTTATTTTTAATATTTAAGGTGAAAAGCTCATATTCATTAGTGGTGGGTTTTTTAATTTGGTGAGGTTCATGCCTGTTATGCATACACACTGCATTCAGAGGCTGATTTGCAGTCTCGGGTCTTACATGTGTGTGTTGGATAGTGCAAGACTCCTATAGGAGTACCAGATGTATCCTGCATCTCGTGACAAATACGCCTAACCCCTGGACTCGGCATATTCACAGCTCTTAAACCTGCATCTATACCGGACTCCCACAGATTACAAAGGATTATTATGGATTACTCCCAGGGAGTGGGAAGAGAAACTGAGCTCTGAAGAGGGGAGGGGGATGGCGGTGATTCAGCAGGGCAGGCACACAGCGGGTCACTGACAGACCCAAAATAAAACCCTGGGAGAGACTTGCTGGCTTCGTGATCTTCTCCAGAGTCCTAGCACAGTGGTAGCTGCATCTTGCGGTGCAGGGAGGAGTATTGCCCCATTTTCCAATAAGTGGACTTCTCCCTGGGACAAAACGTAAGAGTATGAACCACAAGAGATCCAGCAGGCACAGGGACTAACTTGCAATGCAGAGCAAATCACCCGGATAACAATGTTTGCTGCAGATGATGCAGCAGAAAGAGAAAAGCCTTTACAAGAGAAGTTCTTGTAGTCTAAAAATTTAGCCACAAGATGCTAAGTAACACAAAATATCATGTAATTCCACTTGGGATGCAAGGTCCTAATTTTACATGTACTGCTGGGTTTTAATACAGACATCAATGAAGCTACTTATGGAATAGACTGAGCGTGCGCAGCTGAGTTCTCTGTTTAGCTCAGAGACCCCTGAGAGTAGCGGGCATTTACCAGTACCACGTTCATTCCCAGCCAGAAAGATAAAGCCAAACTGTGGTAACTGTGCTCACGTCTACACAACATCTCTTCCGGAGGCTTCTGAACCCTTTCGTGTGAGGTGCCTGCAGGGAGCTCTGAAACTGCCGCTGCTCTGGGGCCAGGGGAGATGCGACGGTACCGCTGCCCTGCAGCGTGATTCACAGGGGACCGTGTGGCCAAGTACGACCGGGAGGCAATGGCCAGGACGCTCCGGTGCATCACGGCCGTTCCTAGGTTTCTGTGTGAGTTTTCCTGATGCTGGGAGAGTTTGGTAGTTGATTCGTGGTCCAGAGGGCAGCAAGGCTGGCTAGTTTTCCTGCTGGGATCTTGGCAATCCCACAGTTTCAGGGTTTGCCCTGAGAAGCGCATTAAAAGCTAATCCCCTCTGGTTTTGCACGACTGTCCTTGCGACTCAGTGCACTCTAGGTCCTGCCTGCGTGGTGCCACCGCAGCTCCTGGGATAGCTTCAGCCCACTAAGTTTATTGGAAAACTAAAAAGAACAAAAGCATAGCAAAAGAGGACTTGGCCGGCCACCTGCTCCTCTGCACTCCCAGAGCTGCCTCGGTGGGAGCCTCGGCCCCCTCGCCCCCTCAGGAGGAGGTGGGGAGCCTGGAGGGGTCAGTTTGCAGCGGTGCCCACCCCTGGGCTCTAGTCTGATCCCAGCTGGCTGGAGGGAGAGCTCTCTCTTCCCAAATTCCTTGCCGAGCAAAGGCCGTTGGCAATGATGCAACAGATCTCACCGTGCAGCATCCCTTGGGCAATCTGGAGTTAAAAATAACTTTCCCTGGTGTGGTGGGAGGCAGCAGAGATGGGGTAATTTTAACTACAGCTGTTACATCTTGTTCTAAGCCTTAGCGAGGAAATCATGAAGTCCTACCCACTTCAGAGCTTTTTGCTCCTAGTGACGGGGGTAGTGAATGCTGCTTTTGACCGGCAGTTAGTGACCCTTTATTGCTACGTTATCTGGATGAAGTGCAGGGATTTCCCAATAAAGCAGAAAATCATCTCACCGCCAGGAAGTCGCACAGCTTTGGGAGAGCTGGTCCCGTGCCCGTGCCTCAGCTCCGGCGTCCCAGCAGAGGTCTGGCCCAGGTGAGTCTGGCTGAGGCATGGTCCTGGGCTGGCAGCGCAGAAACGGGACAGCTCTGGATGCAGAAAAGAGGAAGGGACCACTTCAGGCAGTGTTAAACTGCGGAGTGCAGGTACCTGCCCCAATTGAATTAAATATAACAATTACATAGATACCGAATTAAATATGCGAGTGGCTGAGTTGCTGAGCCACAAAGTCAAATCCCCGTCTGTAGTGAGGTTGGGCTGAAGCCAAGGGGCCTTGCTCTGAAGCGTATGTGCAGCTGCTGGCACTTCGGGAACTATGGCTTTGAAAAGAAAGTATCTTTCCAGCAAACATGGACCTGCTGGAGCGGGTCCAGAGGAGGGCCACAAAAATGATCCGAGGTCTGGAGCACCTCTCCTATGAGGCCAGGCTGAGAGAGTTGGGGTTGTTGAGCCTGGAGAAGAGAAGGCTGTGAGGAGACCTTATTGCGGCCTTCCAGTACTTAAAGGGGGCCTACAGGAAAGATGGGGAGAATCTTTTTAGCAAGACCTGTTGTGACAGGACAAGGAATAACGGATTTAAACTAAAGAAGAATAGATTTAGACTAGACATAAGGAAGAAATTTTTTACACTGAGGGTGGTCAAGCACTGGAACAGGTTGCCCAGAGAGGTAGTGGAGGCCCCATCCCTGGCAACATCCAAGGTCAGGTTGGACGGGGCTCTGAGCAACCTGATCTGGTTAAAGCTGTCCCTGCTCACTGCAGGGGGGTTGGGCTAGATGACCTCTAAAGGTCCCTTCCAACCCAAAGCATTCTATGGTTCTATGATTCAAACAAGAAGGGAATCATACGCATAACTCACGGAAGATCTGATGACACCTCCCTGGGGAGATGCCGCCCAGGAACATAGCACTGGTTTCTCTTCCCTCTTTCCCAACAGCGATGCAGGGCTTGCCGTGCAGCTGTGGGTTGCTGCAGACTTACACCGTCGTTTCCCCGTGCGAGATGAAGCTCCAGCCTGGTGCTGCCAAGGCAGCGAGTGGCGGGCGGCAGCAGCACCTCACGAGGGAGGGTTCAGCCTCACCGTGAATTAGTGCAAGAAGGGGGAGATGCCCGGGCAGGAGCAGCCCGTGCACCCATCACACGGATGGCAGGTAGCGCCGGCTGTGCCACCTCTTGCCTGTGTCACCAGCTGTCACCTGGACATCACAGCCCTCGCTGGGCAGTGGGTGAAAGGCATGCTGTGAATGTGCCCTAATTTTGGCAGTCAGCTGGGGTAGCACGCGGTGCGGTCCGTCAGCCGGACAGACTGACTGCCTGGAGCAGGCTCACCATCACCCCCTGCCAGCAGAGCTGTGAGGGTGGCAATGGCAAACACGGGGGTCCCAGCTTGGCTTGTGTTACTGGGGACTTCCACCCATGACCACGCAGAGGGACATGCAGTGGCACAGATGCCATTCCGCAGCTCCCCTGCAGCTGGTGAGGGACAAGTGGAGGTAGTTGTCTACAACCTTCTACCTTCCAAAGGGCCCCAGGACTTCAGGACTGCCTGGAAAATCACAAATCAGGCTGCTCTGCTCCCGTAGGCAGAAGGCAGCTCACTGCAGTCTGCGGGAAGCGTAGGGGCAAGGAGTCTGGCTAAGATGTAGGTTGCTATCTTAAAATAATTTTTGCTAACACAGTGTTTTGTTTGCTACTGAGTGTGGTTATTCAAAGATGCCTTGTTGTCAGCATCTGTCCCCGATCACAAATGAGTCTCTCTGTCCTTCTGGGACTCTACCACCATAATGAACTTAAGGAGGGACTGGACCTGGCTGCAGGCTCCTCCAGTCGTCCTCTCCTCTCCCTTCCCTAGTACAAGGTTGTGTAGTTATTTGTGTGATACGGAACAGCTTTAGCAGAAAAGACTGGGAGACCTGGCCTCACCCACCACATGAGTCCTGGGGAAGCAGAGCTCTCCCGAGGTGGGGCACTCCGGTTTCACAGCCATGCAGCAAGCGGGTCATCCCACCCGCAAACCGGCTGGGAGCAGACTACGGTGCTGAGGAGCTGTGCCCTGGGAACCACGGCCTCACTGCAGCCACCCCAGACACGTGCAGCCCTTGGCGGGGACTTCGGCCCGTCCTCCCTTTGCATTTCTGACACGCTTCAAGGTGCTGGTCCCTGCGCTGTTTGCTCCCCTCGCTGCCTACCTCTCCATCAGCATATGGGGCCAGGCACTGACGAGGGGTCATGCCTTTCCCCAGGGGAAGAGAGGGCGCAGAAGACTAAAATCCCCCTCCTGGGCTTGCGCAGGTATTCATCCTTGAGCACAACCTTACTTTATTTTCCAGCCAGACTCACAAGTTGGGAAGTAACAAGAGCCTGCACTCCCCCTCCCTGAATACCCACACACCAAACCCCCA